GTATGCTGAGGGTACTATGAAACGATGCAAAGTCCAGGTTATTTCAACTTTGTCGCCTCAAATCAATGGTCAAGCACAGTGAGGTTTGGATCACTGTGCATTTGCAGACCACAATTTGTTCACCACAATTGAAGTCAACTTGCTTGCTGCACAACCACATGAGCCATACTCTCGAACACCAAGACCTCAAACGTACACAGTGAGAACTGCGCAGCAGCAACCGCATTCCCAGAGCTTAAGTTTCACAGCCACACCGTGCAGGAGTTGCGGTTCAGGGGCGTCGGACATACCGCCCACTATGAGGTTGATGCTGCAACTCGGCCAAGACCCGTGAAGCAGCCACATTTATTCCGAGAGTTCTGTTCTGGTCCAAACCGTTCCACGAAATCCACCCCTAAACCCTCGTGGCGCATCTGAGGTGCTTCGCGTGCCATCTGGCGGTGTTTACTGGCCGAAGCGCCCTGCTCTGAATGGCTTCGTTGGGACCCACTTGGCCGCCTCGGTGAATGCAACCCGGCTCATGGAAGGGTTTAGCATCGCATCCGGTCTGGTCCAGGGCCGAACATGCAAGTCGCTAGGAAGTTCCGGGCTCGAAACGCGTGGCGATCTATGCGCTTGCTTACACGCATGTGCATGCGCATGCGGCTGATTCTATGCAAATGCACAGCACACCACAAATAGACCCGAAGTGTAGTTGCGTACATGGAAACAGGCAGCATTCCCAAGCTCGGGCTCGAAGCGTGGAAATTATCTTTGTATAAGTCTTGAACCGTAATGCATTCCCACACGTGCAGGGAGGAGGGGGGATTGAGCAGATCCAAACCTAGACGGGCGGGGCGGAGATTTGAGGGGGAGGGGGTGGGACGTGACGAGGAGTACGTGACCACATGGTGTGTTTGTACACAAAGGTTCGCACATACGATATTTAGCTATCTTCAGACCATATTCGTGCAGACGGTGAGTCAGTTCGATAGCCGCAGAAACAACTTCGCAAGCCTAGGTGGCGCTTGGCCACGAGGCGGACGTTGAGTTGTCACTTGTGCGCTCCGAGCACGACGGCCCGGCGTCGTGGATGAACAAGGTTTCATTGTCTGATGTGAGGAGGGGTTTCAAGACCCTAAACATCTCTAAACCCTAACCTCCTAAACCCTAAACGCAAAGCACAACCGCTGAAACTTGCGGGCTTCGGGGCACAAAAATCAGGCACACATATAGCTCTGCTTGCACTGGGGCTCGAAGGATAAACCTGGTTCTTTATCAGGTGCCCGAGACCTACCTTGTCTTTTGTAAACCCTGCCAAGCCCAAAACTGTGTCCTTGCGTTAGAAGAGCTTAGCATCCCCAGGATGTTCCTGTCACTTTCCGGCGGCTCTTCGTCACCCTCTTCGACTCTGAGGTTGGGTTTCTTGGGTTCTTGGATTGAGGGTTTTTGGTTCAGGGCTCTTGTTCCGATGGTTTCCGAGAGTAGATCCAGGACTCCTTGTGCAGTGTGGGAGTTCAAGGCTCAAGAGCCGCGATGCGACTCCGCCGCCCGGGCCCAAAGCTTCCTCAAGAATTGAGGCAGAGCCGCAACGCCCCGGAGCCAGAGCCAAAACTAAATTGCGAAACCCAGGACTTCCCCAAACCTGGCCTTGAAACCCTGAAGCCTTCTCCCCTCGTCCCTTTCGGCCCCGAAACCCCAATCCCTAAAGCCCACGAGCACCGCTGGTCAGGATCCCGTCCCGAGCATCGCGTCCACAGGGGAGATTTTCATGGCAGGCTTCGAGGCCGGTTCTTGAGCTTCCCATGTCGGATCATGCAGGCATCTACGTATAGAGGCATGCATCCACGCATGCATGCCTCTCTGTTTGTGCGTGTATGTGTGTGTACGTAAGTCTATGTGCATGTGCACCTGGACGGACGGCCGGACGGGCGGGAGGAGGGACGGACGGACGGACGCATGCATGGATGGATTGATGGAAGGATGGATGGATGGATGGATGGATGGATGGATGGATGGACGGAGGGATGGATGGATGGATGGATGGATGGATGGATGGATGGATGGATGGACGGATTGATATATGTCTGTCCGTCTGCATATGTATGTGTGCATGCATGCACCTATGTGTATACACACTCATATCTACATTTACTTTTATGGACAGATATGGATCCAGATGACAAGAAGACGGTCAGTTTTGAATGACATGTCTACGGCCTCTGTTTGCAGCCCGGCCGACACCCCTAAATCAAAGCGCAACCGCTGCACTGTCCCACACTGCCGGCCAAGTGCACCTGTAGGGAAGAGGCTTCAACGGTTTCCGGATCAAGTCCTGGCTAGTTGGTACTGCACTCCAGTGCCAGTGCTTCGCATGAGGGCATTGAAGGACTTAAGGATGTCGAGAAAGATTTTATCTGCGCATGCTGTCATTTGGGCATAATATGCATACAAAGTCAAGAAAGGTGCCTGTCGTACTGTGGCAGCTTGAAGAGTTTTGATTTCCTTCACAGTCTTCCTGGATGAGGCCGCCAGGTGGCCGAACGGCACCGAGGTGTCGAGGAAGGCGCTGGTATCCCATGGGCAGGTGCCTGTCTGCAAGATAAGGGCAGCTGGGAGCGGGGAGTCCAGGGCTTCATAGAATGCAGAGCGTACAGAGAGAAAGGTGGGGTCTTGGGGTTTGGAGCATGAAGTTGCGAGAATTTGACACTGAGAGTTTCTTCACCCGGGCGAATCTTGAAATCCCCTACCCAATATGGGCTTCCTTGGCGTCTTCAAGTGGCGTGACGCCGAGTGACACACTGAAGCCCAGTAACGCCCCTTCCCCCCCTCCGCAAAAGCGGCGCAAAAGTCCGGGTCGAGGCTTGGTCCATTCCCAGCGGGGCCGCGCCGCTGCTGGAATTCCGAGACGTGCAGAAGGCAGGGACGGTGTAGGGTTGTGCCGTTTTTGCAGTGTTCGGCTTCTTGGGTGTTGGGCCTTGGTATTTGGGTTTTGGGTTTTGCACTTGACCGGTCTAGGGTTTTCACCTTCGGGTTTGGGGGTTGCAGGGTATGGGTCTTTGAGGTTCGGGTTTAAGATCGGTTAGTTTGGGGTTTCGGGTGTAAGGATTTAGAAAGGGCTCACGAGTTTTTGGGTTTTGTTGAGATCCCAGGGCGGCAGAGGTGTATTTGGACTATGGTTGGCATTGCCCCAGCCCGGGAGTCACAGAGTTCGGTGCTGTTTCAGCCTTTACAGCCTGTCATGATGCTATTGTCATGCTTTGTCCTACAAACTCTGCATCCGGAGTTTCAATTTGTCCGGACACGCAGCATATGCGATCAGATAGGAGCGCAGGTAGTCACAGCAAGCCAAAGCTCCACCGTAAACCTAGTGCCCAAGCTTGCGAAATCCGTATTTCTAGATCCGCAACCCGTGACCTAAACCGTAAAATGCAAACGTGCTTCGAGGTGTCGATGCGACTGAAGGCGCTACAGAGCGAAGGCTTGCTCCGAAGCGCCTAGCCTCGCACCGCCCCGAAGCAGCCCTGATCTGGTGCGGCTGGCCATAAAGGTAGTGTGTCCTCGTCATCTTGGTCTCAGCCGTATCTTCGTCACGCCTTCGTCTGTGTTGTTCACTCTTTCTCTATCTGGTTTCTGCGTTGTCCTACATCGTTTCGCCATTCACAGACCGCTGTGTTCATCGCGTGCTGCTCCATATTATGCACTACCATAGATGTTCACAGTTGTACTATACCACACGGCCCCGAAGTCCAATTCTAATTACTTGTCGACGCCTTCTGAGTTGAGTTGGGGTGTCCTGGTGTCGGGTGTAGGTGATTAGGTTGTGGGTTTCGGGTTGAGGGTGTTGAGGCCGGAACCTTCAACCGTCAGCCCCAGCAGCAGTTTGATCTCTGCAGGAATCATAACAATCCTGTTGGGGTCCAGTCGTCTGGGACTAGAGACAGATTGCCATCAGGTTGATTCGGGTTTTCATTTGCCTCCGGTCTGAGACGTCCGAACACATGTGACTGTGACCGTTGCCCATCCATCGATCGCATCTGATCGCACAACCGCAGTCTATGGCAAGCAAGCTTGTTAGAATCTGTTAGAAGCCCTGTGTTGCATTGATCGCCAGTCAAACAAATGAGCAACCTTGCACGTTCCTCTTCTACGAAAAGCGATGGGCACTGTACTGTACTGGACTGTACTGTCTCGTACCGTGCTGACTGTACTGTCCTTGCCGTCGTATCGTGTCGTGTCGTGTCGTGGTGTAGTAGTATGGTGGTGTAGTAGTGTAGCCGTGTAGCAGTGTAGTAGTGTAGTGGTGTTGTGGTGTTGTGGTGCAATCGTGTAGTAGCGTAGTGGCGTAGTGCAGCGCAGCGCAGCGCAGTGCAGTGGAGTGCAGTGTATGTTCGGTTGTGTTAGGTTATGTTGAACTATGCCATGCGAAACTATGTCTTGCTATGTTGTGTCATGTCATGCGATCACCCTGAGCTTCAGAGCCTGGGGCACCCTAAAGACTCCCTGGACCCCACTCTCCAGACCCTGTATAAATCTCCCATCCTGACATCCTCTTTCGTTCTGATGCCCGACATCGAACAGGGAACTCTTTGGGGGGCCTCTGGGCCGGCCGAAACTTCTTTATCGCCTTGCACTCACCGGACTTGAAGGCGACAGAGCTTTGACGCTGACCTTCTTGGTATGTAAGGGGGTTTGGGATGCAGGCTTCGGTCCTCTTTGTTGAGGGTTCAACATCTCGGCTTTTGCAGGTAGGGATGGCGGTTTAGGGTTTTCTCTTCGTCCACGTGGCTAAAGAGCGGTTCCCTGCTGCATGACTCTCCCAGCGTCTTGGAAGCCGAAACGACTGTAACTGGCTGTACATCTCACCGTGTGACATCTCAGACCAGTTGCATGGGAGCCGGAGCGACTACGGTCCTCCGGCAGCTGTTGAGCCTCGTTCTGCCGATTTCGAACCCTGGGCACTGCAGCCGAAGAGTTCTACGGGAGCTTTCTCGGGCCTCGAAACCCATCTGCATCTGAAGGCAGTGCGCCACAAGAGGCGCAAGCACGTAGCAGTGCTGCCCGGCTTGCCACGAGGACCGGCCTCTGCATTCGGGTTCCGTTGTCTCACAGTTTTCAGATCACTCGCTTCGAAGATCCTTCATGAGCCCAAGCCAGATCCCAAATCCGGGCTGTCAAGGACGCTTTCAGCGGCATCCCCTGGCGAAGGCCAGCCGTGCGATCCGCTTTGGATTCTGCGATCAGGTCTCACAGAAAGCAGCAACGGCTGCATCTTATTGGCCTGACAGTGCTCCAGAAGCTCGAGGTGGCCCCCGTCGCTGTACCGAAGCACTTCGGCGGCAGCGCACTCCTTGCTGCTGAGAACGTCGGGGCCTTGCGTGCGGCTTTATGTTTTCCGAGGTCAGTCAGTTGCGGCCTTGAGAAGACATAGAGCATCCAGGGTCCGTGTTGGAGACTCTCCGGCCACAGGCAGCGCAAATCTTGGATGAGGCTAAACTCACAGAGCTTCTGGCCGCTTCTGGCCGCTTCCGCACCGGTACGCCAGTGCTCGCATGTCCTGGGCCTCCTGAGCCCTCCAGTCCTCCAGTGTACCACATTGAGGTCGTTTGCAACAACCTCGGGGGCCAGGGCCCTGGAGACTCAGATGAGCCCCCGGAGCTGCGCTTCCGCCGTGCCGGCTTCGTGGGGGACCGGCCTGTCGACGTGGTGCCTTGGATCGGTGATGCAGGATTGCTTGAGGTTTCTTGGGCTTAAGAAGGAGAAGTCGTCGGGATTTTTTTGGAAACTTCGGCCACTTCGGCCCTGCTATCAAGGTCTAAGAGACTGCGTTTAGAGTTGTCTGGGCCTGGGCTCACTTCATGGTTATTCGTACAGGTCCTAATGCTGAGACTTTGGAGCTACAAAGCCTTGACTATGCTCTCGTGCTGCCTTGTGCGCGCATCCACCGAGGTGATTCAAGCGGATGGGCCCTATCATCCCAAGAATCCCAAGCTCAACGGCCAGCTGGGAAATGAGTTCGGGGCCGCAGTCAACGCCTGCTGGCTGCAGTTCCGAGTCCTTGCATGGCAAACTGCTGTCGCTTTTACCAGCACCTTGGATCTGATCGGAGAGTCCAGCACACTTGTGAGGTGGCGTTGGGAACGTCGGTGGATTTGCAAATCTCGCTGGTGCATCACGGACGTGTGGGGCGCCTAGCCCGTCTCCAGGTAGCAGGAACAAGTGCTTGTGCACTGCAAAAGTTAGTCGAGAACCGTCAATGTGCAGTGCGCATATAGGGCAGAGCTAACAGCATGGCAGTGAAGGCACCAGCTCAGACACCTTCCGTGTAAGATGCAGCTTTCATGGATGAGTATGTAGGTGTACATATACTCATATGTATAAATATAAGTCTAAATACACACAGCAATTGTATATGTGTATGCGTGTGCCTATATAGAGACACATTCACGTGAATCATCATGGGGTTCTCGACTCCCAAAGGAACGCCAAATCCGCCGAAATCCTGGGCCTGTCGAGTCGCTGGCACCTGAAACCCCAGCCCGAAATCTGACTCCACGCCAGGATGGGCAGGAGGCATCCGTCTCGGTACCGCAGCTCTTCCTCAGCGTTTGCGACGCCGAGGCCACGTTACCAGGGACTCTGCCTTGAGCACCTGGTCCATGAATCCTTCATCAGTACATTGTAAAACCTGATGTCCTTCTAGTCCCAATAATAATCGGAGTAAGATATCCCCCCAACAAACCATGTTTGAATTATGAAGATTTCCCCCTTATATGCACCTCGCAAGCGCAAAGCCTCTAAGTCAGTCTTCTGAACCCTTGCCGCGCACCAAACCTGCCGTGAGGAGCCGTCGCCGCACTTGGCGGCATCTGGCGAGGTCTCTGCATCTCACCTTCAGGCTCGGCCTTCACGAGGAAAACCCTGCATAGGAGCCCCCACTCTTCAAGCCTTCCTGTTGCTGACGAGGGCGTCTTCTGGCCCAACGGCACCATTCTGCACGGGCCGACAGTGAAGGCGGCCACGAGTTGCGGAACAATTCTAAAGGGGTGCATGCGGTGCGTGCTCGGCATGGTGGCGGTTCGCCTTCCCTTGAGGATAATTGGAGCTTGCCGGAAGTATTTTCCCCATCATGTCCCCTCTGCGAATCTGCCCCCGTATGTTGCATGTCCCTTGCCCGACACCTGTGGTCTTTGCATCCAGACTGCCTACGGCGCGCCGGCGGGGCCAGCGCCCATCTTCGCGTTTCAGAACAGCTCCACCATCCAGGCTGATCCCCGAAACCAGAAAGCAGCCCAGGGACAACCTGCAAAGCCCTAGAGCAACTCTGGTTCCCAGCAAGGATGCTCCTTCCAGAAGGAGGCATCGAACCAAGCAAGACTCTGGCGGTAGAGTTTTGTGCGATGGCTTTTCTCTCTGTCTGAGCGCCACAACTTGGAGACCTGTCCATTTTGCATGCCGCCCTCATTCAGATGAAAATCGAGTCTTCTCTCATATGATGCTTGCACACAACATATACGGGCACCACAGCATGCTGCATGCAAAGAGGTGATCCCATCTCTTGGTTGTCCAGCTTTCCAAGAGCAGGTCACGCTCCGGGCAGCATCCGAGCAAGGCCCGGAACGATGTCGCCCTGCAACAGAAGCAGAGCCCTGCAGCACAATACACTGGCCTTAGTAACATTCGTGATTAGCATAGGGATCAGCGGATTGAACTATGATGAATTTGCTCTAAATGGACTATCCAATTATTCAGACCCTTATAGCAACAAGAACCTTTGGGGAACTGGTCCCTACCTGGATCCCCACTGCTCTGAACATCGGGCTCTTCAGACGGCCTCTGAGCTTCTACTGATTCTACTGCCAGGCAGCGTGGTCGGAGGCGCCTGGGCCGGACGCACCTTTCTGCTGGCGCTTCGCTCGCCCAGCATCACACAGGCCGGGCTGGAGGGCTTTACAGAGCTTGCCTTCTGCAAGTTCGGCAAGGACTCTTTTGGCAGTTGTAAGGGTCTTGTGGAGAGAGCAGGGCGGAATCTTTAGTCGTATTGTTTTCTGGAGAACAAGCGATACCTTGTGAGCACGTTTGACTTCCGGCGCCGGCCCGTTCCCTCCCTGCTCCACAACACGCCAACAGCACAAAGCCTCAGGCCTAGCTGCAAAGCCTTCATGCATAGAGCCCCGACCCCTCAACTCTCCGCCCCCACGGAAAGCTCTGGTGCTACCCAACCTCCCCTCAGCTCGGGGAGACTCCACCCCAAAGCCCAGAAGCCCTAGTGACGCAGAGTTCCAAAGCCTTCAAAAAGCCCTTACATAGTAACCCTTACAGCCGCCCTTATGGCATCTCTTGCAGGATCCCTCGTAGCCATAATAGCCCCCCTACTCTCCCATGCAGTCCTTATTGAGCCTCTTGGGCCCCCGAACGCCCCAAAAAGGAGCCTCCTGCTGTGGACCGGAGCGGCCGGGCCTGGGAAATCTCAGATCTGCGTTGTTTTTGACTTTGGGGGTGTATCTTTTTGGGATTTTTTGGGTTTTCGGGTCTCTTCATGGGGTTTGAGGGTCTGGGGCTCCGGCAGTTCGAAGAGTTTTAGGGTTTGGAAGCTTGTTTCGGTTTCGAGGGTTGTGTAGATCTTGAGACTGGTCGGGAAGCTGAGCTGCTGCAGATGGGCATCGGGGCTTGGTGCTGTCCTTACTCCTTACTAGTACTCGTTTTTTGTGGTCCGTGCTTTTCCCAGGCACTCTCTCTGAGGTGCATGACAGGCCTAACTAAAATTCAATGTAGAAAAAGCTTCTGAAGCCGCCAGCATCATCGCCAGCATTACCAGAAATCCAAGAATGTTCTGACCTGGCCATAGGTGCCAGAGGTTCTCTTGATTCGCCTGTCTAACCGAGACATGTCCATGAATAATATGGAGGCTGTGCTACCCCTAGTATTCCTCAGGGCTCCTTCTTACACTTACATATAATACAGCTTTCCCCCGAACCCGGGTCTCATTAAGGCAGGCGTACTACGGTTGATGATATAAATCCTGCATTAGCCATAATAAGGAATATACCATAATTTCCGTAGGTTAGGGACCTTAAGGTAATGCAGGATTTATATCATCAACAGTATCCCCATACGCCCTAGGTGGCGGCCGACCTGGCAGAGCAGAGGAGGCCATCCTCCTCCGCAGCGGCCAACCCCTTCAAATCCTACAAGAACCTGAACCCGAAAACCCGAAACCAGGCTTCAGAAGGAACCCTCCTCGATAACCATGGCAACAAAAAGTAAGGCCAGCTGCACAAGTCGCGGGTGTCAAGAGTCAGACTCTATGCTTTGAAGAAGAGTCAATACTCTCAGGCTTTCGGCTGTTCCGGAGTTTGCTCTGCAGTTTTTCGGTTTGGCTTTGACTGCGAGGTCAGACTCGGACTGCTAAGTCCAACCTATTGCCTTCTTTCAAACGGTAGAGCATGGGCCCAATTTCCTAAACTCGAGGCTCCCAATCGTTGAAGCAAATAATGAAGGGAACTATAATTGGACCTGTTTGCAGGTGAAAGCACCGCATGGGCAGCAGCTTGGGGCGCAAGCCGTGCCAGGTGGGATTCTGGATTCTGTGCTTGCTAGAGATTGCCCTCAGCCATGGGCTCAGAGTTGACAACTGACCTTAGCTGGCGCAGCTTTGCTTAAACCCGTCCTTCGGAGCAGGAAAAGGTTGCCCGGAATCACGGAAGGCTTCCAAGATGAAAGACATGATGCTTTGAACCGTGGCTGCGGCTTCTCCTTCTTCTGCTTCTCACTATGGTCACCTTCTACGGTTTAGGTTTTTTGGTTACGGGTTGAAGGGGGCATAAATGGCATAATTGTCCGTGATTCTGGATTGCAAACAATCAGGATCCCAAAGCCTCTGCTTGCAGGAGCCCCTACCGCCTCCAAGGCTGGGGGTTTTTCTGCTGTTTCGGCCCTTTCTCAAGGTGTGCTTTTTCTTTAGAGCTCTGAAGGGGGCTGCAACCACCCTTAAACCTGCGACCTCCATGCCGAAGTTGGATAGCCAACACCTGCAAAACATGACTCCCGGAGGATATCAGAGTCTTCTTGCCCTCTGCGCTCGGTACGAGACTCATGCTCAGCCCAGAGAACGCGCCGGGGCTGCAAGCACGGAGATGGCGATGTCTGATAGATGGTGGGAAGTCTGACAGAGGTCCCAGCAGCATACAAGGCAGGTCGTTTCTTATCTTCCCAGATGCAGGCCTCAGGATTCGCTCCGAGCATCTAACCTCAGCATTTCATGCCTCAAGCAGAGATTCTGAATCCCAGGTCGATGTGAACAATCTGGGAGGGAAGGGCCCCGGGCCTTCGGACCATGCACCGGTGAGCTGGCAAAGAAGGGGAGGAAGTGAGGTAGCCAAGTGCTAGTTTTCCAACGTTTCGGGCTTGAAGGTGTCGTTCAGGTTTGGCATCAGGGCTCGCGGCGAGGCATGGGTCACTTCGCAGCTTAAGCTGCCCCCTGCGCCATCACAAGCTCTTTGTGAATCAAAGTGCAAGTGAAGCTGCTAAAGATGGTGTACTGCAGATCTACGCCACAATGAAGTAACAGATATCGTCGATGCTTCAGACAAGGTTTTCAATGTGCCAGAACGAGCAACTGTGCGCCCCTTTCGACCGTCTTAGTGTCAAACCTCGGAAGATTTTGCTTGGCTTGGCTACGCCCATCGGACTGAAGCCTAAACCATTGCAGCCGAAGGTCATCCGCTTCAGACATGTGGGCGTTCACCAAGGAGAAGACCTCGACTTGGCTAGAGCCCCGGGTGTCGAGTCCGCTCTGGGGTTCCCGCAAGTCGAAAAGCACTGTAAAATCTCCCTTTCTCCAGTGAAGGCGTAAGGAGTGCAGGGCAAAACATGTCGAAGCCCTCTGGGGCAGCCCCAGATCGAGGTCTTGCGAGCTCTGGGGAGCTACGAGCCTGGCCTTGTGGGCCTCAATGCGA